CGTACCTCAAGTTAAGTACCCGTGTAAAACTTTCAAGGAGTCCTAAATCTCTGGCAAGATAGTGCTGCAGCCGTCTCGCTGAAATACAGCCTCAGCTGGTTGGACCTTGTACCTGCTACACGGCCGCAGAACGGCTTGGTTGTTACCGACAGCAAGAGAAGAGCTCGATGTCAAGATGAAACCGTCTGGGGAACTTCAGCAACGAACACGCAGTTGCCCAAGTTGAAATTCGCCGACATGATGGGGTACTTCTCTCTCGCTTCTCCTTTCAATCAGAGCCATGAAATCACCATTCTGGCTCTACAACTGAAGACGATGCAGATTTGAGAGGGAATCAAGTTAAGCTCGTGATGTGTTTTTTTTTTTTTCTACGAGGCAGTGCATGGCTGTCGCAGTTTGTTTGTTTGTTTTTTCCAAAAAGTCACCTTACGGATTCTGATCCCGCCTGATCAAGCATGATTTCCTAATATCAAATTGCATCCAGAGGTGAGGATGACTTTGTAGATATGAAGAAGAGAAAGACTCAGCATATAAATACATAATCATATATAGTCTTAAAGCATTTATTTTAATGCAAAATAAAACAGGTAAAATTTATATAGCCATATGTAACAAAAGATCAAAATCTCTGATGTGGTACTAGAAAAAACCTCTGTGTTGTGTGCTGAATTTCTCCCCCAAAACAAACACAGGTGATTTTAAAATCAGTTTCACTGAAACACATGGGTATTGTCAGGATCACAAACACCTCTGTCTCCCCCACAATAACAGAACAGTGTCTTGTAAAGCCGTCTTTCCTATGCAGAGATAGTGAATAGCGCTTCCGATTTTGCCCGTCAGGCTTAGAGACTCTGCAGAACAACTGTGGCGGAGAGCACAGGTGTAGGGCCTTTCGAGGTGCAAAGCAGCCGCTGCTCAGAGCCGAGTGTCAGGATGCGGCCCTGGCAAAGCAGTTGGTAGGATTCACTCGCAGCACTAACTCTCTGATAAACAAATCTGTGATGGCTGGGAGAGGAGGAGGTAGCACAATTCATCCGTAAAAAAATTAGGCAGCATGTGAAGCTATTTGTAGATCAGGAAGCTGGAGTGAATTGGAATTCAGGGCTGCATGCACTTTTTCAAGGCAGGAGCCTTTTTTTTTTTTTTAAATGCTTAGTTCCCCTTTTTTTCCCCACAAAGGGCAATGGATATTTCTTCATGCATTCGAGGGGTGCCTAGAGACTTCTGCATCATAATATATCACAGTGGTAATGTCTGCTCGCAGGCCGAGATCACGGCTCACTAGTGGGTGGTCACTCAGAAAATCCACAGGCTCCTTTTCTATCTCTTAATCTTTCAACTGCTGGGCCCGGCTGGCCCCGCGCCAGAGCCAGGAACGCGGGCTGCACGCCACCAGCTCAGGAAATCAAAGCTTCCAGCTCCGCACAGGGGCGGGCCGCTCTCCCCCTCGTCCTGACTCCCGTTCACACGCACGCTCGTGGCACGCCGCTCCTGCGGCAAACCCAAAGCTCTCCCTTCGCACCCGCTACGTCAGTAACTCTGCTGCTGGACTGGCACATTTTGGATGAGGGAGTGTGAGGCAATTACGTGTCAAGAGCGTTTCAGACTCATAATTTTCCCAAACATATGGACATATGGGGAAAAGAACAACTTGTTACTTAACGGCTCTTTTGGATTTTGCAAGTGTGTATTTTCAACCGTCAGTTGTAGCACCTCGTGAATTCTGCACGGTACATATTTTTCCACAATATGGTGCTAAAATCATACATTTTACACTGCAGAGAAGCTGACTATATATACTGTAGTTACACATTATACTTTTGAAAATACCGTACCTCTACCAGATATTAAACCAGCAAATCGCAATTTTCTCCCAGAACAATGGCACCAGAGATTGATGAGGTGCTCTCTAATACTTTTTGGTCTTGCTCCCCAGCTAGGTCAGACTGTTCTTCTTCCTTAGCTCCTCACCTGTAGGATGCATCCATATATTATCTTGTAGCACTTTTTTTTTTTTTTTGGAAGCAGCTCTATAACTGATCTAACAGCAGAAGCATCATTTAATAACCTGTTGGGTAAGATTAACAGCTCAGAAAGTGTTCGTTTGATCTGTCCACCTCAACTGAGTGGAGCCAATGCCGTCAAGGGGAGCTGTTAGGGAGAGAATTCAGGTTACAGGGAGACAATTGTGCAGGTCCTTCAAAGACTATAAATAACCCAGGAGCTGTTTCCATCCAGATTTTATTTGGCCCTGGCTCTTGAAATACTGTAAATAAGTTCTGTTCACTGTGCTGCGATGCCATTCGAAGGGTTAGTTGAGAGTGATTTATAAAGGCAGTAGCTTATATTCAGAGCTGTTCTTAATTGTGGCCTGGCTTGATAAAGCCACTGTCGCAAACATATTAGTTTCTTTACAGCTGGATCAAATGTATCAGGGGTTATATTTCAAGGAGGGAAAGGAAAGTATTTTAATTTGTTTTTGCTTCACTTTCAGTGGGCCTTCATAACACCAGCGGCTACCCTGTGGCTGCCAAGTCCTGGCTGAGTATCCTACAGCATCTAAAACTCTCTGAGAGAAGTACAAGTACGTGCTGTACACAGCAGGCAGAGTTTCCTTGGGGAATGCACCTTATTTATGGAGGGTACCAAGAGACATCCAGCTTTACATCCAACCCTTCCTCCAGAGGTTTTTCCCTCCTACATTACTAGGGAAGAGGGCAGAAAGAAATGGAACAAGAATCAAACACACTTGCTTCATAATCGGTTGCATTCCTCTCCCTCTCTCCCTCCCACCAATGCCTGCTTCTGACTGGATTTAGAGCTGCGCCTGCCCCTGCCCCAGGGAGTCCAGCCCTGCCCTGTAACTGAATTATGGAGATGTTCCCCCACCACCCCAAAGCCATCTCCTCTCCCCTGCTTCCCAGCCTGGCTGGTGGGTAGAGATCAGTGTGAATGCAAATGCTAGAGCCTGCCTGCCAGGTGGGCAGCTACCAGCGCTCCCTGTGCCCCAGGGTTACGCCAGTCTCTCATCAGCATTAGCAGCACAGAAGAAATGTTGGCTGGGATTAAATGCTGCTTCTCATTAGGGCCATTACCTACTGGTGGTGGCCCCTGGAAAGCAGCAGTGCACAGACCCACTCTGCCCAGTGCCTTATGGACCTCTTACTCTAACAAGCCCTTTTCCCAGGGATATCTAGCAAAGGGACACATGCTCCTAGCAGGACGGACCTTCCCGGTGATATTTAATACCTGGAAAGTGACCTATGTGATTTAATCTGTTGCATACCAAAGTGTCAAAAAGACATCAAAGAAATCCTTGTGCTTAATCCTTGGCCAGGTCACAGTCTGTCCCTGATGAGGAGAGGAGCCCAAACGCTTTAATAATGCTCCCAAAAGGCAGAAGTCGAGGAATTAAGGACACTTGGAAACTTCAGAAAATGTATTTCTAGGTGGCAAGACCTTATGGTTTCCCTGTTGCAAAATCCTTGAGACAAACCTCTGAGCAGCCGCAGCCCTGTTGGGCCGGGTACCACAGGTCCCTGGGGCTGAGGACGTGCATTTCTGCCCTCCTCCCAGGCTGGCTGCTGCAGAGCAAGCTCCGGCTGCACGAGGCCACGAGCCGGCAGGTACCCTGCTGCCCTGTCCCCCGTGCTCTGCTGCGCTGCTGGCCCCTCTCCCCACCCACACCTTCGCTCTTCCTACGCACTGCTGAAAATAACTCGCTATCAATAGCTACTCTCTTCTCTTCCTCCTGGGCCCCAGGGTCTCGAAGTCCTTCCTGTTGCTTTTCTTGTCTTCTCCCTCACCCCTCACTGCAAAATGCCCCTTTCCCCGCTGGTCTCATGGCCCCCGGCTGCAGGAACTCGAGTAGTTTGGCACTTGGCACCAGCCTGGCGCTGCCCAAGGCTGAGCTTCCCTTTTGGGGAGCGAGGTGTGTCCCGCACCAACAGGTGCCTTCGGGCAGTGGGCACGCCGCTGGCAGGCACTTCGCTGTGACCTCGGCCAGAGCGTGCCGGGAAGGGGCTGCCCTGCCAGAGCCACGGCAGCACCTGGTACAGTAACATGAGTTATGGAGTCCGTGCCCGCAGTCACCTCCTCAGCCACTTCTCACACGCCAGCTCCACTGAAACCCCAAGAGTGACACTTACTGACAGCAGCTGAGGATCCCGTCTCCAGCATTTACATTAAAGAGTGCACACTGAATAACCGAGAAACGCTCCCAAGCACACACGCACACACCTACAGACACACACTTCTCGGGTGGCTGGCTGCCTCGTCCTCGTCCTCTGCCAGCCGCCACGGCATGGCGGATAAAGCTCTTTGCATTACTCCAAACGCTGCAGGTGCAGTAAGAGGAGAATCTCGCTACACAAACTGCAAAAAACGAAGGCTAAAAGATAAACGCTGCCACCACCAAACAGAAAGAGGAAGACAGAGGTCAGATTACAAATCTGGAATTGCAGCATCTTTAAAGTAAAGAGTTGCTGGTCTGAATGTGCCCGAAATGCGGCCGCTACCTCCGCAGCAGTCCCTTGTCGACTGATGCTCACAGGCTGGATTACACAAGATCCCTGGCTTTGCACGAAGTCCGTACTGTGTGCTGTGTTCTCGCTTAAAGGCTCTACAACAGCACTCTTAAGTAAACTCTGGTGACACCACTGCCCTTATACAGACAGCTACGTACTGTACAGGTGTAACTGGATTCAGTAAATAGCCCTGAGGTGTATTAAGTGTTGCGCTTCATTTCCAGCAGCCACTTTCTATTTTTAAAAGGAATTAAAAAATACTCAACTGTCTGTTACCTCACGTACTCAAAACACATCGTACCTCACGTGGCTTTAGTTCGCCTGTTCGAAAGCACCTACGCTGAGCCCAGCTCAGTAAGAACGACTCGAGGTCTCATGTGCCACTCTTACAGGCAGCTACGCTTGGGAACAACTCTACAAGGATGATGTCTGACGGGATTCCTCCCGGGCTGTGCTGGGAACTCCAGCATGTGGCTATACAGCCGCAGTCATGGGGTTCTTCTGCCTGGGGTCCTGTTGCCTGTACTGGTACTGGTCTGGACTGGTCCCTCGGTGTCGGACAATTTCATTATAAGCTGGTGCTCGGTGAGACTGAGGAGGGGAAGGTGGCACGTCCTGCCGGAGGGGTCCTTTATGCTGGTTTGCGACGGGCTGGGCTGGGTAGTACTGGGGGTACCTCAATTCTGCCACTCTTGTGTCTGGCGCACGGATGTAGTTCCCCTTAGATGGGTGGACAACAGGCTGTCCTCCTTGGTAGTAGGGAAGATCTCTCTCTTTGTATAGTACTCGTGGCCCTGTTAAATATTCCAGTGGCTCTGCAGGTCCACGCCTGTGGAGGAAAAACATAATAAAGCACATAAAAAGGCAGCCTTCTATCTCAGTGACACATTGTTGTACTCACAAGCTATGTTTACTTTGGGAAAGGAAATGCCACCTCAAGCATGACAGGTCCAGATGAATCAAAAGAACTTCTGAAGGATAACAAGCCTCCCACCTGCACGCTACAAAAGTGTGTAACACCCAGGACGCTGGAGGAAGGGTCCAGCGCACATCACAGCCCTTTTACAATGGGGGAGCACTGGAGCCCTTCAGCTCCCAAAGTCAGCCTCTTGTGATCCATTTGCCATAATGGAAACAAAGCTCCCTTAAACAATGCATGTTTGACTGAATCTTATCTAGCCTGAGGATAAACAGATGAGTTGGGTCTGCAAGTCTGCAAATCCCATAAGCTTTACATGCACAAATATTCACGCTTTCCAAGCCATTTCCCACTATTTTTTCTCCTAACATGTCAGACTGTAAAACTTCCCAAACACCACAGTTGGAAGAACTGAAACTCCTGGAAGAAACACTAGGGATGTCAGGCTACAATACCTGTGTTTAACAGGCGAGTTGCCAATGGGGTTTCAAAAAAACTCCTGTGATCTAGAAGGCCTGATATTACAACAGCCCTGTAACTTGTCTGCATCAGTATGGATCTGACAAGCTCTAGTTCACGTGAAAAGCAACATGTGAACATGTCATCCCTGAGGATGTGCCATGAAGCCCTCTCTGTAGCTTTCTGCATCTTAATTCCATGATTTGCACTAATGAAGCATTGATATTTTTTCCTAGTACAGCTTAACTTGTGATACTTTTAAAATGGCAAAAATAATTGTTCTCACAGACATGTCACCAGAGCATCTCCAAAAGTTCAACTCAATTAGGAGTTTTTGCCGGTCTGATTGCAAATGTCTTTGCACTTTGGGCAAAACCTCCCATTGACTGCAGAGGAAGCTTCTCTCCAAGGGAGAGCTGAAGGAAGATGGCAGGGTTTTGACCCAAAACAGGGGCTGAAACTATAAACCAACTACACCTGCTTTATGGCTTTGGAACTGAACTCATCAACTGTTTAAATATTCTTTGCATAGATTTATTAAAAAAGTCATCATTCTGGTACAGCAGATCAGGTGCTCACAATTCGTCAATGCCTCTCTTTTGTTCACATAGAGATTTTTACAAGCACGCTTCTCCTTTCTTAATCTGGGCTCCCATACTCCAGTGGAACTTGTTTTGCATGAAGTAAAACAAAACATGTGGTTTTCTGCTGCACTCGTTTAAGCCCATGGGGTAAATCATGGACACAGGCAATGAACAAACATTATCTGCCTTGAAATGAACCTACAATTCTCCCCCTGGAATAACTTAGTGCAAATGTTTCCTGTTTAAAATGGAAAGAGTAAAGGAAGAATTCCAGGCCTTGGACTTTTAGGACCCTATGCTCCCCAGGGATTTTTTGCTTTAAAAACAGAACATTATAAAAGACAGGCACTCCTGACTTCCCCCCACCCCCCCCTCTCTCCCTTGGTGAGACAGTCCAGACAAAGTGCTGAATGGCCTGAAGCCACCCTCTGAGATACTAAAAGAACTTGCAATCGCATGTATTGAGACAACTGCTGTCTCTGCTTACACACCTATGCCTTCCAACAAAGCCTTATTTCCACAGCAGGCCGAGGCGTTGCTCCATGTATTTCTATATGAAAACTTGTTCACTAGTCAGTCTCATCGCACTCATCTTTTAATTCCTCTGTGTGCAAAAACACATTTTCAGGCAGAAAAGGCTTCTGCGATGGTAGGAAGTGCTTTGTGTCAAGCAGCAAACCGACAGCAACAAACGTCAAACCAACACCCATCACCTTTTAATAGAAGGACAATGCTCAAAATCTCCAATATTAGATAAGATGAACCAAATTCTTGTGGATCACATTAAAAAAGGAACCTGATCTAGAATCCACTAAAGAGCTAGGTAGCTTTTGGACAGAGTTCTAACTGCAAAATTTAATTACATAATTCAAGATTAATTGGTACCAAAATGACTCAGTTGAGAACAGGACTGAGCCACCAGCATCATTTACTGAGCATTGAGCACACAGCTCATCCCTCAACTCACATAAGAGGTGTGGATGTTGCAGGAGAAGAGAGGGATGGATGCGTTTTGCCATCCAGCCAAAAGAGCTGTTTCCAGGAAAGCTCAGCCGGTCCAGTTCTAGGAGGCAGCACGACACTGCTGCCACAGAAGCTGTGACTATGCAGAGGGTAGCACATTCAGTCAGCTTTGACCTAGGACTGTGCAGCGAAGATGAGCCTGAGCAATCGAAGCACAAGTGTGCCAGATCTCAGGCATGCACCTGAGCTGCTTGAGCTTGTGCCATCAGGTCTTCATTGCTGTCACCTATGCTACAAAACTAAATCCACCATTGGTGCACTTACAGATAATACCATCTCCGGTTGTGTAGACAAACTGCAGAGAGGAGCATGCAGGAAAGGCAAAAATCTTTCTTAAAAGAATAAAGAAATATCCAAGCTGTTCACTCTCAGCACCAGTTTCCATTCTCTAAGGATGAAACACCCATGGGTGGTATCATTCTTGAGTGTCTTCCCCAGAGTCAGGGCTCAGCAGCTGGGAGGACAAGCTGTACATGGAGACAAGGCTTGAATCCGCTTCACATGGATTCTTTAGGAAAGCCCCAGGAAGACAGAAGGTATGTGAGGTTTTTAGCAGCCTTGACGGTAATATAAGCAGTGATCTAATCAACGATTATCAGAACTCTTGCATAAGTAAAACCTTGGGAAACCCTGGTAACTGCCCGAAATGCAGCACCCCAGCAGCATGACCAGGGGAAATTTCATGAAAGATACCCTCGTGGCTGCACCACGCTCTCCAGCTCACTTTCCCTGGTGATCCCAGTGGGTGTTATGCGTGCAGATACACATGCCACAATGATGACACTTTTCTTCCCTTCTATGATCAGCACCGCATGCTGAAGCCAATTTATCTCCTAAGGATTCATTCTTCCCCACCTAACAGCCATGCCGGGTGAAGCCTGCTCTTAGGGAGCTGCTCACAGTGCAAACCAACAGCCTGGGGGTCTCCATGAGCCTCTGACATGACCTCCATCTGACAAGTCTTAAAGTACAGTAAAAAAGCAGCCCTTCCCTCCCCATGTGTCAAATTAACCATCAGAAAGTCCATCTTTTTAAGGCAGAAAAACCACCTACAGATACCAAGCTCTGGCTGTAGAAATGCTGTCACCACTACGAGCAAGTCTGGGACGCTGGGGGCAGTTCCTGGTAGGAAGAGCAGGGACTCTCTGAAGCAACATCATTTTCACTTGATAGCTCATGATGTAAAAGCATATGTTGTTGTTTATCCTTAAAAGAAATTGCCGTAACAACTCAAACCAAACACTTTCTACTTGGCAGCCCCTTGTAGATGCTATGCTTGTTTCTGCAAGAAGCAAAACAACCCCTGTCTTTTCACTCGGCAGACGTTGCCACCTCTGAGGAGGTCCTAATGAAATTCTTCTCCCTTCCCTCCATGTTTTTGTTGGCTCCTGATGAGTTCAGAGTTCACAGGGCTGTATCACACCTCCCAAGTGACCCACGGTTTGAGGGTCAAACCAATAACCTCAAGTGGAAAATCAGTGACCCAGGGGAGTGATCAAAAATCCACAAATTGGGTCAAGCGGGTCCAGCCACTCAAAAGGACCCGGTCAGGAGCGTGCCCTCTGAGAGGACATGCTGAGTAGGAGCTGCTCGGACCGTCAGCTGTTTTCCAGATTTTTGGCCAGTTGTTTGACCTGGGGGTCCAGTGAAATTAACGGCAGGCAGAAGGTAGGGAAGCTGACACAACATCCTGGGAAGGAACTGATCTCAGAGCTCAAAAAGTGTTTTTGCTGATAGTTCAGCTCTGCTGGCTCCTGCTGGAAGATGCATCACTGACGTGGGTCTAGCTAAAAGCAGAGGCTGCTGCTGAAGGAAGCAGTGGAAGGAAGGGAGGCAGAAGTACCAGGTTCAAGAAAGGAGTGAAACTGGTGAGGCAGTGTAAAAATGCACTCCTCAAAAGCATCATGCCCTTGAAATGTTCATTTTATTGTCAGAAGCGAAATCTCACCTTCCCCTGAAGAGAAATTCTAGATCACACACACAGGTAGCTGCAAACATGTTTCACCATATCATTTCATATGCTGGTTAGCAGCTCTACTGGTTTATCTTCAAAACGATTCCCCAGGTAAGAACTGTGGTCCGTTTTGAGCTTTAAGAGCACAAAGTAGCCTTGTCCAGATAAAGCAGGTAACTTGTGACTGATGTTCAATTAACAGTACATGTGTTGTTATTTTCTCTATGACAAGTAAAGCCTGAAGTAGTTTGTTTTTCTATCCCTGCTTTATTTACCTTCCAAACACAAAGCATATAAAATCTAATATTTTCTGCCTTTCCTGCAGAATTTTTAAGAGCTTCTGAGATTATTTAAAACTGAACCAAAGGATCTGGAATACTTAAGAAAGGCTTCTTTTACCCAAAATGTTACTTAGTCATTGAAGTTACTCTAGGTCTCAAAAAACCTAACTAAAACACTTTTTGCTTTCTGCAGTTCCTTTTATTTTTTTTTTTTTTTTTTTTAAAGCCCCCATTTCAGTAATTCTTCAGTTGTGGAGAATCTCACAGGGTAGACTGGCCTAAATACGTGATGCTTCAAAAAACAACCAGAAAAAAAGCATTTCATTTCAGGTTTACTGTGTTTCATTGTTAACCCCCATTTGCAGGTCACCTTTAACATCAGCCATGAGACACATGCTTGGGTTATCTGAAAGGAAAGGAAAGCAAAATGAAGGTCTTGCTGCTCATGCTGTGCCCCATCATGTTGGGGGTTTGGATTTCATCATGACAAAAGAGTTTTTCTTGCCTCTATTCTATAGGGAGAATCACAGAGATCACCCTCTTAGTACCCGGTAAAAAGCGAGGAAGGGAATGCTCTCTTCTTACATCACTGTCTCCTGGCTGCTGAGA